AAAAAACAATGAGGTTAAGCGGGAAAGAAGAAATAATACTCGCGCCTTAGAAAAGAAATGAGTGATTTTGGGGTAGGAGAAAGAACCAAAACAGAACTTCACCAAAATTTGTTTCGAACAAAATTAACCTCAATCCTAAATTTAACCAAAATCTCCATCCTCTTAGAAATCTATCGAGGAGCCATCAAACTCTAGCCGAAATAATTGTCCACCGCGTCTAATTGCTTGATTACAAACAACTCAATTTCTGGGTCATGAAGGTCTGAGAGGTCGGGAGACGATAAACTACAGATTCTGAATTCTGCGAGCAACCACCGGATAAATTGGCGAAGACGACCATTCCGACGGTGCTAGACACTTTCACTTATTGAATTTTTTTAGTATGATGGGTTTCCGCTCTCAACTACGTGAGTTATTTGAAATACAAGCTTAATCATGTGTTTGACTGATCCTCTTTGATATGGGATATTATATACTAGACCGGTTCGTCGGGTTAGTCAAACAAAATAGATTAGCGGTCCGGTCGAACGGGACCGACATCCGCAATGAAGGAAAGAAAGTAGAGAACGAGGAAGAGCGCATTCGGTAGTGATAGACAAGCATTGGATGCTCGAGGGGTTGGTCGATGAAAACGGTCAGACTGGCGTGGTCGTGGACTCGATCACCTCGCATCTCAGGGACAGCTCTACATTCGTTGCGGATCTGGTCGAGTCTCAGAGAGGAAAAAATCCCCAGTACGTGGAAGGAGGACACGCGGCGCTTTGCGAGTGGTCCACGGCGCCGGACTCTGACATTCTCTGACATCTCCGATGCATTTTCTGACACCAAAGGTAGTGGAAGCGCGCATCTGTACGGACGAGCAGGAGGGCTGCTAGCCAGACTCGCCTAGCTCGCGCGTGTAGAACAGGTAGCTCGTCCCTATAAATAGGGACAAGAATTCTCACTTTAGACACAATCTATCATACTCTTACACATTAACACATATATTATCTCTCTCAAGGTCTGACTTGAGCGTTAAAGGCTCTTCACCGGAAAACACCTCCGGTGTGAGAGTTGCGTGCAGGTTCCGTGTTCAACCGGCAAGGAGAACGAGCTCGAGACGGTTTCTAGCCGGTCGGGGTGCAAGACTTGTATTACTCTAATTCTCTGATAGAATTTCTAGTGTGTAGCGGGTCTTTTCTCACGAAAACTTGTTTATGGTGTTTCGGTAAATTTTACTCTTTTTGTGTGGAAATCAACTATCTTGTTAAGTTTGTGGGTCAATTTTATAAGATATTAAATAATTGATGCACTACAAGTGTACAATACTCCAATAAACCTTACATCTGTCTGAGATATGATTTCCTTAAGTTATATTTATGATGTTGTTAATACTTTTCACTTATCAGTTTGTGTATTCATGCTACTACCAAGAGGTAGTGCTTTATTATGGTAGACTGTTGAATGGGTATGAGAAGTTAAACCTAGATCTTGCTTGAGTTAGATTTTAGAGATTTGTTTGGCCATGAATTTATACTATACAAAGTATGAAAATATCCTAATGAAATATAGGATTTAAAAACAAGGTATTAGTTGATAAGACATGATGAAAGGATGTTAATGATGCTCTTTGGGAATTAAGATGTACGAGAATGCTATGTCCTTAAATTTATGAGTGTCGTTCAATTTGGGTAACTTGGACAACAATGTATTAAAAAAAATGGGTCTCTGCTCTAAAATAGTACTAAAAGATATAAATATTTCTAACTCTACTCCAAATAATGCTAAAGGATATGTATATTTGTACCTAATATGCTGTAAGGAATATGAGATATACGGTTTGAAGGAGCAAAACGAGACTTGCAGAATTATCTTTTGGACGTTGTTCTAGAACTGCAATCGATTAAAATGTGTTGCTTACTTGTGTAATTAAGCCACAACTTAAGGGAGGATTACTATGTAATTACTCCAACATTGTACTGCTGTAATCTCAATCACTTCACTCCGATCTGATTTTATGTCATCATCAT